AAGGAAAGAAGGGAAAGGAAAAAATGATGAGAAATGGAAAAAATGGAAATAAAGTCTTTGTAAATAGGGAAGGGTGGAGGGCGTGAAAAAAAAAATGCAAGACTAACCCTACCAGGGGTGTTCTGGCTTTTAGCCAGAGGCGGTGGTGGGGTGTCCTAATTTGTAGCGCATCCCTATTTCTATGCCTTAAATAATTTCCATCACGGCCAATTTCAAGCTACCAGACCATTCTGCATCAGGAAATGAGACTCTAAGGCAAACAATGGAACTGTTTCTCCCCTCTGGATGAAGCCAAACCTCTGCCTTCACAGCCTGGTTCTCTGATCTCAAACATTTCTCTCTCTGGTCATTGATTCCCAAACCTAGATGTGGATGGGAATCACTCAGGACCATTTAGTGAAAATATAGAATCTCAGAGCCCCTGACCAAGACTACTGACCCAGAATCTCCAGCAGAGCATGGACCAGGAACCTGCATCTCTTTACAAACCTTCATTGGTAGTTCTGATTCAGCCTTCCGGTCTCCTGGTCAACATTTGAGAACCACTTCTGGGTGAGCTCTGTTCACTTTCATCCTTGGATGAAAGATTATGAGATAACAATCATTTGTGACTCAATCTATTCACTGATTAGCAATATCCCTGGTAGAAAATCTTAAGGGATTACTAAAATGCTAGCTGGACACTCTTTTTCTGACTCATTGTTAGATATAAATGCTAGTAAAGCATTCATGTTAGTTATCTTCTCCCGCTTACGAATGTTGAACATGAAACCCCTATTTTTCTCCAAGAAGATTTCTGGCAGAAATTCTGAGATGATGTGTGTTTTCTATGTAACCATTTCCAAATAAATCTCTGGTTATTTCGACCAGAGAAGTCCCTTTCATTCATGGTACACAGATTTATTTAGCATAGATACTTCATGGTCTAAAGTGAATGATTATAATGAGACTAGAATTTGTAATAAAATTTCCTTACCACTACATTGACATTTACTATTGCTTAATATTCACATATTGTGGAACATAGCATTAAACTACTCTAGGCATGATATTGTGTTGATATTTAAATAATCATTGAATCCAACTCATAGTTTCCCCTTCCTCACTGTCCTTCTGTTAATGCCAAAGGATATGTTAAGTGCTGTGTGGATGGGAATTGATTTTGTATGGAATATTGATAATTATTCTGACAGTTTTCAATAGAAAAATTTCTCCTACTTTAGTAGAACATGCTTGAAACATGTTGAAGAAATGGCTTGCAGAACAGAAATAACCCTCTTTTTAATATATAGCTAGTTCTTTTACAGTAAGTTTGACTTTATGACAAGACACAATTTTGAAGTATTGCATAGTGTCTCCAAATTTGTAGGAAAAAAATCAACTAGAAAAGAAAGCAGAATACATTCCCTGTCAAAGTAAACAACCTCTGAAAAGCCTGGCGTGCCCTTCCTTCCTCCTTGGTGGGCCAAAGTCAATATAGTCGATTACCTTCTAGCAGAGAATGAATAAAAACGTACTTGATCCCTTTCCCCTGAATCCTAAATCAAGTGCTTATCAAGACAGCACCTGGTTACTTGGTTCTAGTTAATTTAACTAGCCAGCTCTCTTTGTAAAGAGAAGGTTTTAGCGTCCGAAACTCTTTTTTCCTTCTTCCTTTCTACTTTCTGGTTTAGGTGAAAAGTATTCAACCAGTGGCAACACCTGTGCCTTCCCGGTCCATCCAAATAGCATCTTGTCTGATTCTCTCCCAAGGGATCTGTATGTAGCCCAGGGGCAGAGCTCGTGCCTAGTGCATGGTTCGATCCCTGGTACCACCCAAGAAAAAAGAAGAAGAGGAAGAATCTGTATTTCTCTGTTTACTTGTATCTATCGATTACTTTATTCTAATTAAATCCAGAATGCTTTATCACAATGACACATTTAGAAACCCACATGCATCTTCCATTTTTCATTCTTGAGTGTGTGTGTCCTGTCCATTGTTTCCCAAGGGTCACTCAAGTCTCTTCAAATAATAACTTAGTGGACTTTTTTCTTTCAAACTGTACTTTAGGCAAAGCCACATGAGTCCACTCCATGTTGTAAAAACAGCACAGACATCTTTGTTTTATATTGAAAAGCAACTGTGAATGATTCCAGCATAGACTCAATATGAAGTAACTGTTTTTGAAAAGCAAATTTGAAATAGAACCAGTGACTTGGCAGTAATAGCTGAGAAACTTTAAACTTAGAGGTTTTTTTTCCCCTGAGCTAAGAAGGAAAAGTAGAGGCTTAAAAGTGAAAAAGATAGAGAAAATAGATATGCTATAATAAAATAATCATTCTAAGACACTCCTTTAAAAAGATTGAATAACATATTAAAATTCACCCCCTAATAAGGAGAAACTTTATGAATTGATAAATAATAAAGGTCAAATTTGAGAGGAGACAGATAAGGTCATAAAATTCTCTGAAATTCTCTCTCCATCAGAAAATGCAGTTCACTAAAAATATAATGTACCATTCTCCATTTCACAGGGACCAGCATTAAATTATTAAATTATCAAACCTTAAATTATAAACTATCAAAACCTTCAGAAAATATGAAAAAAATCAGGAGGGGCATCAAGAAGCAGCATTTGTTGAATGACCCCTGTAGGCAGGCTTTGTGCTGGGCAGTTTACGTCAATTACCGCATTCCTCCTTCTTTTTTAGGTGGTACTAACCCTTTCTTTTTTTTTTTGTACCCTTTGTATTTTACAAACAAGGACCCTGAGGTTTCCGTGGATTATAGAAGGAGTCCAGGCCTCACACAGCCAGTCAGCACACGCTTGGAGTTTGAGCCCAGTTTTGTCAACTGCAAAGCCTTGACGTGTACAATCAATGACCTACAAAGATCCAAGCGATTGTACTTTACACAGTGGCCTGGTTGAAAACAAAATAAGAAAAGCAAAGGTAGAAATAATGAGATATGTATTCTAGAGCCAAAAGTAATTTGTAACGGACCTAGATTTTTTTTAAGTGTGGCATTTGGTTTTGAATAAGGGCCTGCTTACGGACAAACAGCTGAGTAAAATCTGAATCTAAATAACTGTGTTCATCATAAGGAATCTTAGCAGCAGAAAGATGGACGTGATAGCAGGTGTCCCAAATCAGCCGAGAGAGAGAGGAGAGATACTAAGAATAAAATGTACTCAGACTAATAGGAAAGCTTCTCAGGCAGAATACAGCAAGTTTCTACAGTTACCAAAGGTGTAAGGTGATTTTTTTTTAAAGCTACTCTAGAACAAAGAATTATAATTAAGTATAACTAGATGAAAAGAGGACAAGGAATTTCAGACTGCTTAATGTGAAAAGAAATTATTTCAAAGGAGAGGCTTTTATGGGTGGAGAATGTCTCCTGCAGAGGGACAATAAAGAGCTCTTATTACAAATAATAAATAATAAAGCCAGACTCAGTGAAGCATTAAATGTTGAAAATAGTCATGCCCTGATGACTCTGAATAATTCACTCTACTTTGACCATTTCAGTTTACTACAGATTTATTGGGTGTTTTTTCTGTCTCCAGCATCTCGGTTTTAGGGTAGAAGAAAACCTGTAAAAGGAGTAGCATGAGCCTTTTAGGAGGTTCATCAAAACATAAAACTATTCCAAATTTATTGCTTATTAAGAGGAACATTCATTCATTCATTCACTCATTCAACAAAGATTGAATAAGTTGCTAAAATACATCAGGCATGATCCTGGGTTTGGAGATAAAGAGATGAAATGATGCTGTTCCATTTCCAGGACTTACAGTATATTATAGAGATGGTAGCAAGGCAAAAGTCATAGAGATCATTGAAGACCGAAAGACCAGCATCATTGAGAACTAGTCGGGGCTAGGGATTTAGCTCAGTAGTTCCACCACCTGCCTGGCAAGCGCAAAGTCCCGAGTTCGATCCCCAGTACCAAAAAAAAAAAAACAAATATTCGCTAAGTGAGATAATTCATCCATAACCCAACCTATATTTATTCAGAGCCGAGCATGTGCCAGACCTATTCTAGTCACTGTATATACAACAAAATAGAGCCCCTACCCCATGGAAATAGACTGGAAAATTTACTCAAGGAAATATGCAGTTTTAAAAGTGATAGTAAGTGTTATGAGAAGGTACCACCCAGATTAATAATTTTTACAAGTAATAAAATTTGTACACTCAAAAGTATTTTCTTTAGTTTAAATGAAGTAGCAGACCGAGAATATATAATTGGTTTAACTGCATGAAATCCCTTAGATATGTCCAGGAATCAATAGTAACTGGATCAGCTACAACTACAAACAGGAAAGAATTGATGCAGAAATCAAATAGAGGGTCTGAGCAGCAGTCACATAGTAAAGCATTAAAAATAAAGGATGTGACTTTAGTATTTATTTGCATTATTTGTTTAAAAATTTGTTAAAGTGCCAGGGATTTAGCTCAGTGGTGCCCCTGCCTGCCTCGAAAGCTCCAGGTCCTGAGTTCCATCCCCGGTACCAAAAAAAAAATTGTTGAAGACAGATAGAAAATATATTTTAAAACCTTGCATTTAGTTTTAAAGCATTAAATAGAGGCTGATCTTCACATCAATCAATCTTCTTTTGTGGAAGATATACAACTCTTTCAGGAGACATTTCAGTAAATGAAAGAATCTCAAATTATTCTCTTATTAGATTTATTCAAGCATAATTCTACTTGAAATTAAATGTACTTTGAATATTGCAGAATTAGCTATCACTGACCACCATGTTTATAACATTTGAAGGATCCACAGAAAAATGTTTCCAAAGATAGTAAGAGGGTAAACATTTTGCCTTTCACAAAGTTCATTTATAATTCTTTCTTTATTTTGTGTAGCTATTCATCCACTAGCAAAAATAATTGGTAATAGAAGAAAAAGAAAAAATAGAACAAAAAGAGACTTCGTAACTGTTTAATTTCACACTTAGTCTATTTGTAACAGTTCCTGCTCTCTCCTTTCTGCTTGGAGCGGCAGCTCCAAACTGTCTGCATCAAGTCCCGTTCGCTCTAAAAACCTTAGCGGGCGGCTGGGCCACTTTTGAAATGACTTTCCTATTAAAAATTCCCCATCAGGGGGCCGGGGATTTAGCTCAGTGGTAATGCTGCCAGCCTTGCAAGCGCAAGGACCCAAGTACAATCCCTGGTACCAAAAAAAAAAAAATTCCCCATCAGAAATTCTGTGAAGCCTTGGCCCTTTTTGGAGGAAAATGACATTGAGAGCCCAGGAGACGCTCGCTGGTCAGGGAGCAGCCGTAGGCAGTGGCGAAAGGTCTTCAGCAGGGCTTCTTTCCCAGCTAAGGGCCTTGAACTTTGAGTTTTGTTTTTAGAAAAGCTAAATCAGGGGCAAATAATTTCAGGGCATCTTGCTCCCAGGGTAGCTTTTCCTAAAACAAGAGCAAAAGTTAAAGCCATCATCATGTAAAGACTTAGAACGTAAAACCTGAAAGAGGCCAAGCTTCACAGTTGTTTCTACCCACTGTAGCAAAGTGGAGCACTGTCCCATTGAAAGATACACAGACTGACTCCTACACTTCCAGGGAAGGCACGATGAAGATGAAATACAGCGATGCCTTCCCTGGACTCCATCACTGAGTCCACTCAGCAAAGGTGTCAGAAGAAAGGGAGCCACTATAGTTCCTGGCCATTCCTGGCCACTCAGAGCTGCATACTTTCTACATTCATGCAGGTGGACAGCTGTGACTCTTGTCCTAGGTTACATTGTTGGGTTCCTCCCCTATATACAGTAAGGCCATAAATCACACCCTCCTTTTTCTCAACATATTCTGACCTACAAACAAGCGACCACAGGTTGATTTTTTTAATCCAAGAAAAGGAACGTGTAACTTAGGAGTGACTTACTTCTAAATGACAGACTCATCAAGCAAGCTGTGCTCCTTTTTGCCACCGTGGCCCTTCCAGGTACAAGGCAAGGAGGCTGTGTGGAAAGCCAGTTAGCGCATCGATTTCCTGAAAAAAACAGTCCATATCTGCAATGAGGCAGTGGCTCTTCCTCTGTGTTCGCATGAATACTGGACTAACTGGGCTATAACACTCACTCTTCTTTATTTGTTTCTCCATCTCGTTTCTCTCACTCAAGAGCTATGACTTTTTGTATTTGTCTTTGTATCTTCAGTCACTAGCATAGTTCTTGTTAAGACTAAGTTCAAGAACTCTTCGGTGAAGTTGTGAGTGGATGGGTGGATGGCACTTTAAAACTATTATGTCTCAACCAACTAAAATAATTAACTAAAGTCAGTTATTTCTTGAGCATTCAGTGCTACTAAATACTTAACACATTGAAAAATACATCCATTACCTCACTGAATCCTCAAACTACCTTGTGGCACAGGTTTTGCTATTCTTACTTCATTAGTGAGAAAACTGAGAGTTGAGAAGGTTAATTTCATAAAGTCTGATTTAAAATAAGCCTCATAGCAAGAATTCTAAATCATCTAGACTGACACTCAAATTGTGTTCTTACTAACTTTATTACACTGCCTCTATTTTATTCTGTGTTTTCCCAAGAGATCATATAGGCAATTTCCAAACAGCTGTATTTATTATCAGCTTTCATGGTTGAAACAAATATTGGCTTTAGAGCCTGTGTATGCACAGGCTGTTTGAAAGTGTGTCCACCTGCTCTTTTGTTAACAATTGTGCTTTCTGCTAGAAGATTCTCCAGAGAAGCTTCATATTCTAATTTTCTCTATAAATGCTTCATAGAGGGGCAGTGCTTTATACATGGATGGATTGCTGCAAGCATACTCTTGTAAATAAAATTTGTATCACACTCAGAAATTACCTAAATCCATTGCTTGAAGGGAACCTATTGTAAGATCTTTTGTACCCATTTCTTCCGTGACCTCTTTGAAATTTTTGTATTATTTCTTTACATTTTCTTCAAATTCATTCTCAAAGTAATTAATGCACTCTTTAAAGGAAGTAATGTGCATTAAAGAATGGGCCAGGGATTTAGCTCAGTGGTGCCACCTCCTACCTCGCAAGCGCAAGGTCCTGAGTTCGATCCCTGGTACCAAAAAAAAAGAATGCTTTTGGCAATATTTGGAAATTTAAATTATACTTGTCATAATTTTGTTTTGTCACTATGGCTGTAGGTGACAGCAGCTTAAGACAAATAAATATTTTGAGAGGGAAAATGATGATGACAGTATTAAATGATTTGTTACCTAAACAGACTACACAACCCCCAAATATTTCGGGCTGCCACTTCACCTTTTAAGGACAGTTCACCATAGCTGTATACACAAAAACCTATCATGAAAAGAATAACTGAGTTGAGCAGGATAGTACATGATGATTGTTCAGTCTTCCCTATTGGGGCTCATGTCAAGAAGACATAGCTGAAGTTGAGGACTTATGTCATTCTGTCATAATTTTGATATTCATTGTGAAAAAGTACTTGGGTTGTATTTTACAATGAACAATCAAGCAGAAAATATATGTTGGGGACTCAGAACTGAACCAGAATCTAAGGCAATCTCTACCCCTACCCCAAGCAAAAGAAAATATATTTTCATTCTGGAAGAAAATAAGAAATGTAGTTTATGAGTGTGAGATATTGACTGGTATCAAACTTTAGGAGTTAGGTATGTAAGGTGAGCCTCGATGTACAGTCTGAAAAAATGTATGTCATGCAAGATGTCAGGGCCTTTTCCCTAGAGCTAGTTCTGCGTAGTTTCCAAGTGGTATTTTTATTTTGTAATTATACAGAAAGTCACATTGACAGAAATCCACTGCCACATGTGATAGAATCACATTCTTCTCTGGCCATTCCTGAAATGTGTATATATAGGGTTTAGAATAAAAAGTCCTCCCGAAAGTTCAACTCAGAAACGCTCACGTTTTCTATTGCAGGAAAATATATGGCGGTGGGGTACCATATATTATCAGAGATGGGGGTCCAACAACAGATTTGCCTTCTGGCTAAATTGCCCCTAGCTGCCATCAAAAACCAAATGACTTCACTGAGTGACACAGTAACTATTGGTTTCCTCATCGCTTTTGTATGTGATTTTATTTAAAGTCATTTCTATACTGTTTTGAATATAATTCTTTGATATATTCATGTTGCATCATATAATCCCTCCAAACTACCTTGTGACTAAACTCAGATGACAAATCCCTAGTCTTGAAGTGTCAGAGTACCTTAAGAGAAAATGCCTAAATGTCTTCATAATGAACCCCATCTGAAAAAAAATAGGAAATTTTACGTAGAAACATTATAACTGTGAATTTAAATGAAGCTGTTCTCCTAAAACTAAAACGTTTTAGAAGCAATGTCTTTAGTTTTCTCCTTGTATTAGATCCTTTTATAATGGAATAATTATTCTAAACTGTGGATCTCTTTAAGAACCAAGACTATCCTATTCAGTTTGCTCATTACTTAGCACATAATGGCTCATTAAATATTTGTTGGATAAGTGAATGTCACCTTACACAAATTCACACACAGTTAGTCTTTCAAACAATTTTTATGTTTCCTTTCAAAGCCCTTTATGTTTTCATTAATTGCCTTTTGCAAAAAGTTTTCATTGCCTTTTTTTTTCATTAAGTCTATTGGTACATTTTAGGTACACAATACGGTTACATTCATCATTGGGAACTTGTACCTTTACACGATGCATCTTGGTTATTTTTTCCCCATTCCCAGCCCTCTCTTTAACCCCTCCACCCCTTTCTGCTTAAAAGACTTTGTTTCCATTTTTTTTCCTTTTCTCATATTCAATGCAGTGGTTATTTTTCGGGAATCTCTAATCTCCCATTTGCTAATTGCTTATTAAATGCTAGAGATACATAGTATCTTCCATTTAATCCTCAGCCACCTAGTCAGATAGGAGCGTGAAGCCAAGCAAGGTGGACAGTAAGCCCTGGGAGGGGAAAGTGAGCAGGGCCCGTACAGGTGCAGACAGACCGGTGTGACGCTGAGAGGAGGGGAAAACGCCCCTCATCTCTAATGCAAGACAGAACAAAAGGATGAATTATATTTAATTGTGTTGGAATCAGGAACGGCTTCTAAAAGAAGGTAAATCTGTTCCTGAGTTGGGAACTGGAGGGGCTGCCCGGGGTGACACGTGTGGGAAGTTGAGAGGGAGGCAGAGAGAAGGTTGCTGTACTTGACTTCTCCCTTCTGAATATCATCATGTTTCAATTTCAAACATTTCGAAAGAGAGTCACCAACAGAGCGCCTACCTTGAGCACTCTCCCCACCCCAAATGATTGAGCCGGGGTAACCCTTAGGAATGATGTTTGAGGTAGATCTTGAAGGATGTGTAGAATTTTGAAAGACAGATATGAGAGAATTTCCTTCTAGAAATTAACAAAGGCACCAAAACAGGAAAGATGGGGGTGTACCTAGAATCCGCACTGTTTAATTAGATAAGGGCTATATGCAAGAAAGTAACAAAGGCAAGACTGAGCCGGGGATTTAGCCCAGTGGTTTCACTGCCTGCTGCGCAAGCGCAAGGACCTGAGTTCGATCCCCGGTACCAAAAAAAAAAAAAAAAAGTTGAAACAACATACAAAGGCAAGACTGGAAATGCAGGCTAGTGCCGCAACAGGAGGAAGGACCTAAAACATTTTGCTGGGTGTACCAGCATGTTATAAACTGCAAATGCTTTATAAACAGAGTTGTTATCAACCAACATTTGCTAGCTGAGCGAATGAGTAGATAAATGACTATGTGGTTCTTTCTAAGATAATTCATAGTCTTTTACAAAAAAGGCGCCATTCTGTGCTCTGTTGTAGTAATTCTCAGCAAGAAGAGCACATGCAGGGCTAGAGATTTAAGCTCAGTGGCACCACACCTGCTTCACAAGTGCAAGGTCCTGAGTTTCGATCCCTGGTACCAAAAAAAAGAAGAAGAAGAGTACATGCAGCACTGGGGATGGAATGTTAACCAGAGTAAGGAATTTTTGCAAACTTCACACAATCGTGCTAGTTTAAGAACCAGTGCTCTGATGACTAAGGCTGAAAGAAGCCCTGAACAGGATAGTGTGCCGACCGTGCCTGTACTTCTCCAGCTCCTGTTCTCATAGCAGTCACTGGTGACCTCCTAATTGACGCTGTTACTGGTTTGTTATCAAGCTCATGTGACTTGAGTATTCTGCAGTGTTGACAGTGTGAACCTCTTGAAGCTTTCTCAGCCTTTGGCCACCATAACATCGCTTTCTTGACTTTTGTCGTCTTCCCTACCTGGCCCTTAACCATCTGTTTCCTAAGTTATCGTCCCTGCAGTTGCCTGTACTACGTGTGTGATCTCCAGTATGCTGTCCTTAATTGTCTTCTCACTCAAAACACTGTCCCTGGGAAGTCTCATCTAACCCTTTCCGCTTCTATTATCATCAGCTGGCAATTCTTAAAACTATTTCCATGGCCCTAATTTTTCTCCTAAGCTTCAGATGGTCTGCAGTTACCCATTACCACTTAATGCCATGTCCTTCAAACATCAAAAAGTTAACATTTGATCCTGAACTCATTCTTTCCTCCATCCCTTCCATACCTCCACCCCCAATATGGCTCTATCTACCCTAACTTTCTCTAGCCCTATATTCTAAATCTTTGTAAATTGTGTCACTAGTCATTTTCACAAGGTAGAAACCTAAAATCTTCCTCAACTTCTGTTTGTCCCTTAATTTCTTCTTCCTCATCCAGATAAGTCTCCCAATCCTATCAATTCTATCTTTGAAAAGAAGTTTTTCATATCATACTTTTCTCCTAGTCTTACATCTCCTGATTTAGTCATTTCTTGGTCATTCTCATTTCCCTGGTTTCCCTTCCGTGTACCATAGGAAACATCACCAACGTGTCTGTCACAGTTACATCATAATGAGGTCATAATTCTGCTTCAGAATGTCTGTGGTTCATCACACCTGTAAGACGAAATTCAGCTTCTTGGAATAGATCCTTCCACAATCTCAAATCCTAACACACCCCAACCCAACGATAGTTTTTTATTTTGTTTCCATCTCCCTTCATCTGCTTTCCTTTCAATGTACACTTCAGACTAAACTCTAAACGCTGAAGTCCTCATATTCCCCACACAGGATGGGCGCTTTCATGTACAATTCCCACAGCCTGGAATGGCCTTCAGGTCCATTCCACAGAGCTTTATTTAGGCATCTACTATGCACCAGACACTGTTCTGGAGCCTCAGAATGAAATTAAATGAGGATCCTTCTATCAGTGCCTTGGAGCCTAGTAGTAACAGAGACAGGCATATCAACAAATAATAAAAATAATAATAATAATAATGTGCTGTGATACACACAAACCAGAAATATACATAAAGAACAGAGACCACCCAGAAAAGAGACAGTGGCTCACTGGAGGACAAGCAAGCATGGCAGACTCTAGGTGCTCAAGATGGCAAAAGCAATGAATCCACAGCCAAGGGTGCTAAGGTGTAAAAGTGGAGGTGCTGAGAGCTTCCATCCCAGCTAGAAACATAAAATGTAATGGGGGTGCAAAAAGGGATAAGATGATGCACTTTATGGTGTTTTATCACAATTAATTTTTTAAATTTTTTTAAAATACAATGAGCAGAGTATCTTAAAACCATGTTGGAATAAGCAGCTGCCTACCTTCCCCTCCTTTCCAATTTTTAAATTCCTATTTGGCTTTAAGATCTGGTTCCCATGTCTAAAGATTCCTCCTCTGTGAGTCCTGTGTGATTCCCTCAGCCCGTGTTGCCTACACATTTGTCTCTGCTCGAAGAGCACTTTATGTAGACATCTCTTTAGTACTTCATCGGGCCTGGAAGTTTTTGTTTACTTCTTTTTCCCTCACAAGACTGAATTCCTTCGGAACTGGCAGCATTTCTCATACAAACACAGATCTTATATCTCTATAAGAATTTTATGCATTAATTACTTAATTTAGTATTAATAAACAATGACCTAGCACCACATTAATAGCTTTGCATACATGACCTCCTTTCATCCTTAGAACTCTCTGAGGACAGTTATAGTCTTACTTCCATTTTTATAGATGAGGAAAAAATGAGATGAGAAGCTAAGAGTATCTTGCCAAAAGTTTTGCAGCTGCATAGCAGAGATGTAAAGCCAAATTGAGATTTTAATGACAAAATGGTAAATGAAGTTTTTCAAGGGGAAAAAGGGGTGTGGGATCTAGAACATTAGTTCTTAAGAAAAGGAAAAAAGGAGTTGGCCTATTCAGCATCAGGCACTATGTTACACACACTTAAAATAACCTCAACCTCATGAAATAGCCACAAGGTGTAGATTGCACAGTGGAGAAACCAAGGTGCAGGAAAATTAAATTTCTTCCCCCAAATCAGAGCTAGTGGGAGGCAAGTCTATGAACCATGACCTCTGCCAGCATTGCCCCTTTTATTCTTGGAGGAAGTGGTGGGAAAATGAAAATAAAGAGATTGCGAGGAGAAAAGATTATTCAGAAGACTTGTCAGAGAATCTGAAACATCAGGTGAAGGGGGTAGAATGAACTGAAAAGCCTGGAGAAGTTCTAGGGTAGCCACGGTGAGGGAGAGCCAGGTAAACTGATAAATAGAGTGGATGGAATCCAACCAAAGTGCTAGGGGTTGTCAAACTGTGAGCAGTGGGCAATTCCAGGAGGAGGAAGAGGGATGAAGAAACGCTCCATTATAGATTCTAGTCGAAGAAGCTGGACTTAATCCCACCCAGGTTAAACCAATTTGCCTCCTATACCAAAACTCCATTTTCTTCACTTCCCAAATGTCTAATTCACTCTTCCACTCCTCATTATCATCCGATGATCTTGCTTCCCATTTCATCCACAAATGATAAGCAGAAGAAAAAGCCCACCAACTCCTGCCAGTGTGTTTATCTGTGTTCATGTGCTTGGCCTTTTGTCTTGTCTCTGTGAACTGACCTTGCTCTTACCTAAGGCTCACACCTCTTCTCCATCAGCTCTGACCCCTCCTCTTCCCTACTCAAGTACACCCAAGCTCCTACTCAGCATTTCCTTCATCTCTCTTTTGGTCATCAGCTTTTCCCTTTCTGCTGGATCATTCCCATCAACAAATAACATCAAACATACTGCAATTTCTCCCATCTTAAAACAAACAAAAACACAAACCTCCCTCGTATCTCCAGCCAGGTGTAAGTTCCACCTTACTGCTGGGCCCAAAGAGTTATCTGTTCTCATGCTCAAATTCCTCTACTCCAATCCTCTCCCGAGTCCTCATCAATTACATTCCCTACTCACTGTTACACTAAACTGCTCCTGTCAAGGACATCAGTAGCCTTCACAGTGTTAGATGTCATAATCCATTTCCATTCCTTATCTTCTTTGGTCTGTCAACATTTGATACATCTGATGTTGACCTCTTCCTTCAAACTTTCTTCATTTGGCTTCTGTATCACCATATGCTGTCTTAGTTACTTTTTCATCACAATTGTCAACACCTACAAGTTAGGAGGAGAGGTTCATTTTGGCTCACAGTTTGTAGAGGTTTCAATCTGTAGTCAGTTGGCTCCAAGGTAGGGCAGTGTGGCAGAAGGGAAACAGTCCATGGCATGGTGGCAGGAAGCAGCAAGCAATCAAGGAAGGAGGAAGGGAGATAGACCCTGCCAGGCCACGCCCTAGTGACCTATCTCCTTCCACCATGTTTTACCTCCCAAAATCACAGTTAGCTATAAACTCAGCAGCAGACTCATCTACTGATGAGTATCACACTGATGAGATCCAGTCACCTCCCAGAAGACCCACCTATGAGCACGTGAGGTTTTAGGGGGACATCTAGATATCAACCAGAACATATGCTCATGATCTTTTCCTCTCACAGAATGTTCCTTCTGTGTCTTTTTCGCTGGCTCATCCTCAACCAAAAGGCATTCATGCTTAATGCCCTCAACTTTAGAATAAATTACATGCTTCTTTTCCCAGCCGACATGCTGTGCCAATGACATCCGGCTTATCTGTAGTTTCATCAGCTTTCATTGTCTGAGCAGACCCCAGCTGGCTAAAGAGGACTCTGAGACTTGCAGGTGGAGAAGGGAAGCCACTGTGGGACGGTTGGGCCTCGACCCCACACAGATATCGGTCAGTCACCAGTCCTCATCTGTCCTCTGTGTAGCCTGTTCATGCCACCCCGTCGGATCAGCTGTCCTTCCTTTCAACTCGGTGATCTTCTGTGACCCCAGCAATGGTGACTGCCCTTGCAAGCCTGGGGTGGCAGGGCCACATTGCGACAGGTGTATGGTGGGCTACTGGGGCTTCGGAGACTACGGCTGCAGGCCTTGCGACTGCGCAGGAAGCTGCGATCCTCTCACGGGAGACTGCATCAGCAGGTGAGCGTGCGCAGCCCTTTCGCCCATCTGCGTGTACTTCAGGCCCTTTTGAAGATCTAGTGATGATTAGGAAAACCCTGCGTTAGAGGAGCAAAGATCTATTTGCACATCTCTCTGCAGAAGTTGTGTCAGATTGCAGAGTAGAGTAATTGGTTCTTGCAAATTTCGAGAGATCCTCTAGCTTGTCTTGCAAAACTATTTGTCAAAGTAATTTTCTTCAAGCACTACCGTGCCCTGGAAAGTGAGAGTTCAGGAAGGCAGAGGATAAAGTTTGAATCTCTATGAATGCACTGATTTTTTACTCACGTTCCAAAAGATTCCTTAAGAAGTTCTTTGTCGCTTTATTTTATTAGCAACGCAGACATAGACTGGTATCACGAAATTCCTGACTTCCGGCCCCAGCACAACAAGAGCGAACTGGCCTGGGCCTGGGAGGACGAGCAGGGGTTTTCTGCGCTTCGCCACTCAGGTGAGACAGCGATAACTGGGGTCTCATGCCCAGGTCTGGTCAGCGAATGGGGCGAACCGGGGACAGCTTTGGGGTCCTGTGAGGGAACCCTAGGTAATAAAGTAGTGGCCCGAGAAGTATGAAACAAAAATGTAGCTGAGGGCCATTTAGGCGAACTTTAGGGTCATGTGTAATTAGTATAGAAAATTTCAAAAAAGAAAACAATGGCCTCAAATTAACTCATTAACTCCACTGTGAAGACTTTGGTGTATTTCCACCTCTAAAACCTACTCTTTTGCACAATGGAGAGCTCACTGAGTCAGGCATGGTGGTGCGCGCCTGTAATCCCAGCACTCCGGGAGGCGGAGGCAGGAGAATCACAAGTTCTAGCCCAACATGGGCAATTTAACAATTCAGCAAGATCATGTCTCAAAATGAAAAACTAAAAGGTTAGGATGTAGCTCAATGTGAAGGCCCTGGGTTCAATCCCCAGTATGAGACAAATGACTGATAGACAGATGACAGCTAAATAGACAGACCGTCTTTAATTCTTAACCATCCAGGTTTGCTTTTGAATGAATCTCCTACCTATAATTGACTTACTAATTTGTAGGAGTTCTTTACAAATTCACTAATTCATCTGCCCAACAAGCTTTTTCAGTACTGAGGACTGAACCCAGGGGCACTCTACCGCTGAGCTACATCCCCAGCTATTTTCATTCTTTACTTTTGTTTTTCGTGGTACCAGGGTTCAAACTCGGGTCCTTGTGCTTGCGAGGCAGGCGGCAGAACCACTGAGCTAAATCCCCAGCCCCTTGCCTCAGCCTCCTAAGTAGCTAGAATTACAGGCATGCACCACAACACCTGGCCCCAACAAATGTTTATTGAGTATCTGTGTCATGTGGAAGTACTGTGAATATAGTAAGTAAACAAAACAGACAAAACTTGAATTCTTGTAAAGGGAAAACAGTAATAAATAAAATATTTGTATGATGGATGTTAGTATAAAAGAAAAAACAAAACAAAGATGGAAGATAAGAAGTGCTTAGGAGGGCTATACTGTTTTTTGTACTGGGAATTGAACTCAGGACCTTGCACTTCGAGGCAGGCCTGGTGCCGCTAAGCTAAATCCCTGGCCCAAGGGAGGGCTATACTTTAAATAAAGGGACCAAAAGAGGCCTGTGAAAGGTGACAATTGAAGGGAAAACAAACCTGAAGAAGGTAAGGGACTGAGCCACACAGGTAACAGAGGGAAGAGAGTTTAGGCAGAAGAAACAGCAAGTACAAAGCCCCTGGGTGGGAATAGGGCTGGTTTATTCGGGAAACAGCAGGGAGGCCAGGTGGCTGGAGCAGAGTGAGGCTGAAGAAGAGGGTAGAGGAGATGAAATGGAGGCTGCAGAGGCCCTGGAAGGATTGTGCATTTCACCTGGAGTAACGCGGAAGCCTCTGGAGGGTTTTGAGCAGACATGTGGCCCTTAAAAATAACACCAGTTGGCATGGTTGTATGTTTTCCTTGTCACATTCCACACCATGAACGTAGGCAAAACCCAAAAGTTGGATTTAATCCAGGTTGAGGTTTTTCCGAGCGAGAGCGAAGCAACATGGACGTGAAGGTGGGTAAAGAGTGCTGTGAGGATACGAAGAGGTGAGGTTAGAGGACAGTCGGAGCTGCGAGGAAGCTGAGGTCAGGGTGTAGAGGCCGTCTAAGGAGGCACTGCTGGGAACTGACATGGGATGAGCAGCAGTCGCTGATAGGGTCCTGCGAGTCAGTGGCGGGGACCCCTGTTTGGAATGCAGCCTTGTCCTCTAGCAGGCTTCTGTCTATGAGTGGATCTACATCTGCTCTGTATCCTGTTTCATGAGCCAGAGCCACCCTGGCTTATTGTAGCTTTGCAATGCGCCTTGACATCTGATATGGCAGATCCTTCCCTTTTGTTCTTCCTTCTTGAAATTATCTTGGCTATTGGCTCTTCCTAGTTTCGGGTGCAATTTAGATTAAGCTTACTATGCCCCATAAAAAGCTTCGTTAGTATTTTTATTGCAATTGCTGACTTTACAGCTTATTGTGAAAAAGCAATTAGCTTTATGAGATTGGGTAGGAGTAGTCCCAAACATGGTGGTCTATGAATTAAGGTTCTCTTTAAGAACTTTTAGCAATATTTTGTCACTTTTCTCCAGAAAGGTTTTACATGTGTTTTTATTAAATTTATTAAATTTCCTACATCTAATTTACTAACTTTATTAAATTTATTCCTGAATAAAGATTTATTGCTATTGAGAAAATTATCTTTCTAAATGATTATTGATGATATACAGTAAAGGAGTAAGGTTTGTTTTTTTGGGGGGGTTGGGGGTTTTTTTGGGTACCGGGGATCGAACTTGGGACCTTGTGCTTGTGAGGCAGGTGCTGGAACCACTAAGCTAAATCCCCGGCCCTATATATTTTGTATTTTGATATTGTATCCAACAACCTTGCTGAAGTTGTTCCCTAATTCCAGTAATTCATAGATTATCTTGGATTTTTACATGTAGACCATCATATCATTAGCAAATAAGGACAATTTCGCCTTATTTTTAGTTTTCATACCTCATTTTTTTCTTGCCTTATTACATTGGGTAGTGCCTCCAATATAATATTTTCCCAAATCTGATGGAAATGTTTTGAAAATTTTACCAGTATGATATTTGATAGATTTTCGATATGTAGCCTTTATCAAATAAGTCATTCTCTTTTAATTTTAATTTTATTATTAATGAGTTTTGCATTTACTGATTGCATTTTCTCTTTTGAGAAAATCATATGATTCTTCTCCTATAATCAGTTAATGCTTTATATGAAAATAAGATTTTTCTAATATCAAGTTATTCTTTTTCGATGTGTTATGGGTGATCGAATCTAGGGCCTCGACACTGAGCTACTTCCTCAGCCTTCTGTTCATTTTTTATTTTGAGACAGGGTCTTACTAAGTCACTGAGTTTCCCAGGTTGGGCTCAAACTTGCAATCTTCTTGCCTTAGCCTCCCAGAGTGCTGGATTACAGGCTTGAGCCACCACACCTGGCTTGAAGCTGTTCTTTTAGTCCCAGGATAAACTACTTTGGTCATGTTGTATTTTTATTCACACATTGTGGAATCTGATCTGCAAAGGGTTTTGTTATTTGTTTGCTTAGGATTTTGGTATCTTCAGTCTAATTTATGATACTACCCCATGTTTGGTTAAATTAGAAGTTCTCTTCCCCCTTTAATTTTTTCTATTCTCTACAATAATTTATATACAAATACAGTCATATATCACTCACTGATAGATATGTTCTAAGAAATACATCATTAGGTGCTTTGTTGTGCAAACGTCATAGAGTATATTTACTTTATCATAGTGAACTATGATAGCTATGACTTCACTAAGCAGTAGCATCTTATGAGAGCAGAGCAGAACATATGTAATTCGGGCCAGGGATTTAGCTCAGTGGTTCCGCTGCCTTCCTCAAAAGTGCAAGGACACGAGTTCAATCCCCTGTACCAAAAAAAAAGAATGTATGTGATTCATCATTCACAGAAGCATCACTGTTTGGCACATGACTGTAGAAGCATCCTTGGATGTTTATTAGAACTCACTTATCTTGACGTGGTGTTTGTGAGTAGATGGAAATGGTTAATTACTAATTCAATATATTTAATACAAAGGGCCAGGGATTTAGCTCAGTGGTTCTGCGACCTGCCTCACAAGCATAAGGTCTCAAGTTTGATCCCTGCTACAAAAATATATATATATATATATTTAATACAGTGGACCCTTGAGTTACAACCCACCTGACATACAAACAACTCAGGTTACAACCAGAATTTTAATTTTAAGTTAGAGTCTTGAGTTACAATCCAAATGCCGGCCACTTGTGCTTCCAGATGGTGTCAGATACAGATTTAACCCTTACAGAGTTCTGGAAGGAACAGTACAACATCCTTTCCTGTGTGGAGTTAATTGAGAAATCCTGGATCAGTGTCTCTCTAAGAATACTGAGCTCTGCCTGTGTACAGGACCCTGAGACTTCAATTGACCAATCTGAGTTACAACCAGTCCTCAAGAACAAATTGAGTTGTCAGTCAAGGGTCCACTGCAGTTACTTACTTTTCTTCTTGGGTTGCGGTTGATAGAGTGTCTAGAAAATTATCTATTTCACTTAATTTTTTTAAATTTCTTAAATCTTGTTAGCCTAAAGTGAGACATAGTATTCACTTTATAAACTTCCTAATTACTCAATAGTTAGGTCTCCTTTTTGTCCCTAACCTTATTTCTGAATTTTTTTGTTATGGTCTTAAGCAATATTGCTGATTTTAACTTGCTTTACAAAGAACTTTTGGTTAATCTGATCTAATCTATTTCATTTTTATTTATTTACTGATTTCTATTTTATTTATTATTTATTTATAAAAGTGTGGTCCTTTAAACTTTTATAGAAGTTTTTCTATTTCACTAATTTCTGATCTTTTTTTATCTTATTTTTAAGTATGCTTTTTTACTCCTTTGCTAGCTTTGTGAGTCCAGTGGCTACCTCACTTATTTTTAGTCATTCTCCTCTCTTTACCTGAATCTTACTGCTTTTATATGCAGTATTTTCATTATCATTCAGGGCTAATTTCATGGTATGATACCTATTTTTTTCAAAACAAGGAGGGCACCTTGGATCTGTTTCTAGGCTACTTACAGCACTGGCCACTGAATTGCAGGGCTCAGTTCTAGAAGAAATGCTAAACCTTTGCTCAGCCATGGTGAAGAATTTTGAGGTGACAACACAGGGCCCCGAGTCAACACGAGGTCGTTCTCAGCATAGGGTCTGCTCCTCAGCACTATGGCCCAACCTGGGTCTGCAGCTTGTGAAAACAAAAAACCCAGGTCATGAACAGCCACAGTTTGCTTTTGGTTTTTCTTTTTTCCCACCTCATTTCATTAGCAAAAAGAGCCTCAATCTAGCTTTGTCTTCAAAGAGTGACCCTCCCTGTGGTCCCTGCTTCGTTCCCTTAACCTCTTAGGGTCTGAACTCCAGGCCGATGCCCCAGATTCTGAAACCGGCCTGAAGGTCCATGATTCCAGGCCCTTTCCCCTCACACATCCGTTCATCCCTAATCCACAGCGATTTGTATCTGGTTTGCGGAAGAGGCTGTGTCTGTTTTGTTTTCTCTTTTACCTAATATTGCTCAGTGTTTGGAGCTGAGATTGTATTCAAGTCTGAATTTACAAACCTGTGTTGATTGCTATAGTAATTTTTTCCATCATTTTATTATGAAAACTTTCAGACATGCAGAAAAATTTAAAGAGACACCTACCTATATGTCCACCACTTAAAATCTATCCACCCGTGTATATTTTTGATCAGGAAGAAACCACAGTTGTAATATATTCTTGTACAGAATTTATGAACCCTTCAAGAATCAAGACCCCAAATTCGAGAAGTACTGACATTTGTAATTCTGTTAACTTTTCCCCGCCTACTATGATCTCAGGACAATTCATTTAATGGTTGTATTTTAATTCACAACAGGAAATAAGGTAGGAAAGATAAGGTAATGTGAAATTGTCATATTTATCTTTTAAGCATTTGAAAAAGAAAGCAAATATTTCTCATTGATTTTTTTGCCTGAAGACTTAATAGTTTCAATTTTTTGCCTAAATAGTCTGAATTTTACAATTTTAACTTCAATAGCCACTTTGAAACTTTTTATTTTACTTTTCTAACACAGTGGCTTTTTATAATTCCCTGACCTTGTCCACTAGACCAAATCTGAACTAAGTGGGTTTTTAGGGGTATTGGACCAGTAATGCCTGCTGCCAGAGAGGGAGCTGGCTGCATACCAGTCAAGCACATAAAGTGCTGGCACCAGAAGGACTCTACACGCTCACGTCCACCACAGCTGTTAGGTCCACAATGTCCCCAGAGAGCCTCTGAAATTCATGTGGACGCGCTCCAGATGTAGGCAGCTTTGTTCAGTTTCCTGCTAAACAGCGATATTCCCATTGCATAGAGGACAGTGCTCCTGGGGGCCTTTTTCAACAAAAAAATGATGACCAGTTTCTTGAGAAAAGGAAAGTTCATTCTCAAATCTAGATACCTGTCTATTATCTACAGTAAGTTTAAAAGCCTTTTGACTCAGGGGCTGGGGATTTAGCTCAGTGGTTCCGCCTTCTGCCTCGCAAGCACAAGGTCCCGAGTTTGATACCCAGTACCAAAAAAAAAAAGTCTTTCGACTCGAAGTGTAATGCACTGTAGCAGCAAAATGCTATTCATTTCTATCTTTTTTTCAGTGCTGAGAATCAAACCCAGGCCTTGAGCATACAAGCACTCTACTACTAAGCTACACCTCCTGCCCCTAATACCCTTAGTTCCTACTGCTTCTCGAGGGACAGAAAATACCAGATGTGAAATTTTACTTCTTGAATAAAAAAACTGGCTTTAACTAGTACCACGAAACTGTAAAAGATGCTCATTTTTTAAAATGTACTAGTAACCTAGTATAACTAAACAGAGTTTTCTCTTCTTCCAGGTTTGTTTTAAGAAAATATATCTAGGAGCCTGGGAGTGTAGCTTAGTAGCAGAGCACTTGCCTAGGATGCCTGAGTTTCTGGGATCAGTCCCCAGCATTCTAAAAAAAAAACCCCACAAAATCTTGGCTGAGCCCAACCCCCGCCCTCAAAAAGAATTTTTTTGAGCCACTGTCTCTCTATGTTACCAAGGCTGGCCTGCAACTCCTCAGCTCAGGTGATAGCTGGAACTGTGGAACACACTACTGCATAACCCAGCCTGAGCCAGAAATGTTAATGTTTGAGCTTTAACCATATGAAAAAGGAGTATTGTAAGGTAGTGAAAGAAAGACTTTCACATAATAAACCTATGTATGCTCCTAAAAGCTGATGGACTAAAGAGAAGAGCATTACGCTGAGGCATAGCACATGCCATTTGGAGTTGCACTCGGTTCTACAGCAAAGTAGTTACCATAATCTCCTGCTTCCACGGAATCCTTGAAAGCCATGGCTATACACATAGTTACGACTATTTCTGAATAAGTAATTCCATGCTTGATTATAGGCAACATTATTTACCAAATCACAACAACTGGTTTTAAGCGCCTTTGATTCCTCTTTTCTCCATTTAATTCCACTGTGATTTTGCATTTGTAAATCTTATTCTCTGACCCGTGTAGCAGCTTCAGTCAGAGTCCATGTGCCAGTGTTTTCCATGTCACCATCCACCTACCCGTTTTCACCAGAACCGTACTCTCTGGAAGTGATTTGAGTTCATGACCCAAGGGTGAAACTTCAGAAGAGACTGCCCCGGTTCCTGCTACCTGGGTTGCTGGTGCTTTCCCGACCCTCCGCTTTTCTGAGTTCTGGTTCTTTTAGCTGCTTCTCCTCTCCAGAAGCTGCTCCGTACCCTTGCAATAAGGAAGTTAGAAAATTAATGGCCGCCACCAACCTTTAGGCATGCCTGAAAGGCTCTCCTGACTTCCCTATTTCTGATCGTGGTACAATCCTGTCACCTTAGCTGAAAACTTCTTTCTCAGGATGTTAATTTTATAGTTCCTGTTCCCTTGCCCTCATCCAATCCTTTGAAAAGATCTTCAAACTCAAACTCTCAATATCCCATGATTTTTTTTTTTCAGTACTAGGGCTTGAACCCAGGGCCTTGGCACTAAATGGTATCCCCACTCCTTTTTTAATTTTTTATGCTGAGACAAAATCTCACTAAGTTGCTAAGTTGCCAGGTTTCCCAAGGTGGACTCAGTCTTATGATCCTCCTGCCTCAGCCTCCCAGAATGCTAGGATCACAGGTGTGCACTACCGCACCCAGCCTACTTCTTCTTTTCTTGATCCATGGCTACCTGTCTGGTTAGACCCACCTTACATTTGATTTAGAAGAACTGTACAGTGAAAAGATTAGGACTTCAGATTCTCCCAAACTGAGACCTAAAATCCACTTTCAAACGTGTTAGCCATGTTGCCTTGAATGAGCTAATTAACTTTCTGTGACCTTCATTTCTAAATTTGTTAATGCACACCTTATTATATATGTTAAATAGGGTTATATGGGCCAAGGTCCTTATATACTTCATGGGTTACTGTTGGCACCCAAATTGCTGTTGCTGTTGTTACAGTAGATTTTTCTAACTTCTAGTGTATGTGTATTTTTTGATTCATGTAACTTCTATAAGCTGAGAACTTTGAAAACTCCCCTGTTATCTAACAAATTAAAGTGAGACCCTAATTGCATGTTAGTCAAAGTCCTACATCTTACCTTCTTCTACTCCTCCCACTCACTCAATGCCTGGAATAAATAGGACCACTCACTCTTCCACAAACACACTTGACCTTTTCTTTCTTACATTTCCTCACTCATTCTTTCTTTTTTGTTGTTGTTGTTCTTTTTATTTTGGTACCGGGGATCGAACTCAGGACCTTGTGCTTGCTAGGCAGGCACCCGAATCACTGAGATAAATCCCCGGCCTCACTCATTCTTTCATCTCTATATTCCAATCAAATTTCTACCAGCTAGCATCTTTGTGACTAAATGTAAAATAAAACAGTGTAGCTCAGCGGTAGAGCACTTCCCTAGCATGCACCAGGCCCTAGGTTCAATCCCCAGCACCACACAATGTTTTAATGTTTAACAATCTAGTGTGAATGTTTCTCAGTAAGTGTTACACTTTAACACTCAGTGCTTATGAAATGCAGGGTATGAGCGCAGTAGAGGAGCAAAGAGAAAAGGGTAAAAATTGTTTCTAATTGTTAAGTCTATAAGAATGAAAATCATATCTATCTATTCTGGATCGCAGAAATACAAAGCTGAATAAAACATAACTGTTGTCCTCAAGGACCAATCTAGAGAGGAAACGTATAAATGACAATGGAAAATGCTATATGTAATCTATGTACAAAGGCATTTTGAAAGTTTTAACGGGACCTGGAAAATCTCTTGCACTTCATAATTTTAATATATAATTTCAACTGTTGGGAGAAATATCCATCCTACTTTTTCAAGTTCATTTCAAATCCTTCTTCAGCCAGAAACCTTTTCCTGTCTTCCCACATGGGACCCTCTCACCCAAGCCTGTTGGAGCTGTCTCAGACCATTTAGCACCTTTTGTACATTGCTTTAATGCTTTGCTGAATTGTAAGCCTTAGGCAAGAATTGGATCCTGCTCGTCTGTATATATCTGAAGGATGTAGCACTATGCGATACACATCGTAGGTCAAATAAATACTTTTAAAATGGACAGTATCATCATTGATGCACTATACAATCATTTCATTTTGACTTTTTTTTTTTTGGTGCTCGGGATGGAACTCGGGACCTTGCGCTTGCGAGGCAGGCAGCGGAACCACTGAGCTAAATCCCTGACCCTCGTTTTGACTTTTGTCGTCATGAACATGGCTGAAAAAAGACAATTGTCTTTTCTATAAGTTATCCCTTCCCTTAGTGCCATTTCCCAATATCAGTTACTAACACTGAAATATGACACTGTTATTACCCTCTATATTTTTCTTAGGTCAGTACTTTTTGGGATGATAACTAATTCAATTCAGAAAGAGGCTATGTCTTTTGAACGACTTTCATGTTCACTTAGCATCACTCAAGGCTTCAAGCATGTGTTGCTGGATTTACTTTCTCCTCTCTCCCTCTCTCTCTCTCTCTCTCTCCTCTCTTCTCTCAAGAACTAACATAATTTTCCATTTCATTTTTGTAGGTAAATGTGAATGCAAGGAACAAGTGTTAGAAAACTCCAAGGCATTCTGTGGAATGAAATATACATATGGTGAGTCTGAAATCCTCCGGTGCTTCTGAGAACCTATTCAAACTAAAGACAGAGAGTTTTTCAGGAAATAGGAGGCCCTGAAGGATGACATTTAGCACATTGCTGAGCACATACTAAACGTTAGGAAATGTCAGGACAGAAGGAAAGGATGTCTATCTCCACATGAAGACTGAGACTAGCTAGCCACCTGGCCTCCTCCCCAGCTTCTCTGAATCTCTAAACCTGTCAAATACCAGGAAAATACATCAAATAGAAAAAGAGGAAATGGTACTGCCCTGAGTAAAGACCGTTACTACCTTCAACTTCTAAATGGCTTTTATTTACTATTAAATATACTAGCATAGCTTATCTAGGTAGCATATTCTTGACTAGCATCTGAAGCTTTTCACTGCTCCATAGTTTATATAGCCTGAAATATGCATTAGAACGAAGAGGAAATTTTAAGTTGTGATTTCTGAAACCAAGGACTTTAAAGTGTTTAGGTTCTTTTTTTTTTTTTTTTTTGGTACCAGGGATCAAACTCAGGTCCTTTCACTTGCACAGCAGGTGGCGAAACCACTGAGCTAAATCCCTGGCGATAACATTGTATTCAATCTCATAAAAGATTAAAAAGTAAATGGTAAAAACCACATAAATCTTACCTAAAATTATATACACACTTCCTTCTCTTCACCTCCCAATTTGGCTAAATAATAAAAGAAAGCTTTGGAAATGTACAGTGCCCAATAAAGGAGAAGCAGTTAATAGGGCATGCGTCTCCTATCAAAAGCAAGAAATAAGAAAATTTAGTCCTAAATTACCTCAGTGAAAATATCAACTGGTTCTCATCATCACACTGAGGCAGCTCTCCAACAAACAGCAATCTTTTAATAAAATGCGTTAATTTTCTACTTTAAAAATCTTGAACATTTTTAATGAGGCAATAAAACACCTTTGTCTTATTCAGTGCTTTACAAGTAAAGAGTTGGGAAAAAATGGTTTCTCCCTCTCCAGTCTCTGGTTTAATGAGGAAAAACGTGATTTATTTGTTTATTCCTTTATCAAATACTTGGTCCCTGCTCTCTGAGCTCATGGGGAAGTGGAATCGTAATAGTGAACGTATTCTGAGCATTCGCCCTGGGACAGGCACTGTGTTATGCGCCCTTCCTGCGTTTATCTCTTTAGGTTCTGGTCTAAACTCTACCCCTTGTCAACCACTCTTGCGACCTTGGGCAGTTCATTTGATTTCTTAAAACTTCAAGACCACCTGAGTTCTAAGGCCACTTAGAAGTCTACACTTTGATGATTTTATAACGGTGGCTCTAGGACAACTGTATTGTTGGAGCATGAGGTTAGCCCGGAGAGGGCTTTCTCGTCCCACAGTCTTCCATCAGGGTTAGATGAGCCGGTCAGAGCTCTCCTAATGATGGAGAAAACTGCGTCCGTGCGCTCCTTGCGGCCACTTTCTGCCCCACCCCCATTTGTTCCATTACTTAATGCCAGCCATATCCACTTCTCAGGTGGAATACTGGAGCGTTGTAATGATAATAGGCTATGAAATATATTTTTTGAAAAGCCAGAAAAAAGAATTTTGAATGTTTCACCAGAAAAATAATAAATGTTTGATCCGCTTAGTCTGATTTGAATATTACTCGATCTATATATATACTGAAATCTCACATGGTACTCCATAAATGTGTACAATTTATGCACCAAAAAGGGTGCTGGAGTTCTGCTGTGCTGTAGAAGGAACGCTTCCCCCACCCCAGTCATCTTGAATTGTACCTACCAGATAAAGAAAGGGAAGAACGGTGCTCGATCACATTGTAGACTCTCATTAGGATGTAATATTTTCGTCTGGGGATTTAGCTCAGTGGTTCCACCGCCTGCCTCACAAGAGCAAGGACTCAGGTTTGATCCCTGGTACCACAAAAAAAAAATACTGAAGGATGTAACATTTTGGTCTCGGCCATAACATTATACATGGTCAACTGTAAATGTATCATAGTCAGAATAAAAATAACAACCAGGGTAAAAATCATACTTCCTATTTCTTCTACATAATAGATTTGATAGCTGAATATATGTAAGATTATATTTGCAGATTGTATTTAAGATTACATATGGCTGATAGCTTCCTAGCATAGTGATGTGGGAGATAGAAGTTGAAATTGCTCAAGAAAGATGAAACAGTTCATGTAGATAAATGAGGTGAAGCCAGCACAAAAATGGATTAAAGCACAGTTGCACATCCTGGTCATCATCAATTCACCTGTTATATTCTAAAATGCATATTTAAGTTGTTCAAATTTCAAATGATAATATGGAATCTGTGTATTTTGACTTTTGGAATTATGCTGTTACAGTGCTAAAGATAAAGATTTTATCAGCTCATGATAAAGGCTCTCATGCTGAGGTCAATGTGAAAATTAAGAAAGTCTTAAAATCTACCAAATTAAAGATTTTACGTGGAAAGCGGACATTATATCCAGAATCATGGACAAACAGAGGCTGCACTTGTCCAATCCTCAATCCTGGTGAGCATTCAGCTTTCCTGTTTTAATACCTATGTTGACTCTGCTGATTTGCTGTTGTCTTACATTCTCTGCACCACAACTGAATAAACTCAGAAAGATGTCTCCTTTTCACTATCTGAATTCTGGAGAAAATCCAAGCGGAATTGTTTGAACTGATATCAAAAAAAATATTTCTCTTCCACGTACTCTATAAAGGTAAAATATTTCAAATCTAGCAATATAATACTTTCTATCCTAAAAGAAAAGTCTCAGATTGGTTCCAAGTGCCAGCTGCATAGAAAGGACTTTCATGAATTTATCTGCCGCTAGCTAGCATGTTATCTGAAAGCTAGGTCCTGTTACATTAGAACCTGTTCCCCAAGGAAGCTCAAATGCAAAATTCCATCTGTGCAAATAATATTGAATTCATTTTTACTATTGCATGAGAAACATCTGTTTCTCCTGGATAGAAAACAACTCTTGAGTTTTCATCATGTTGTTTTTCATTAAATGTTCACTCTGGTTTCCAATTAGCAACAGCAGGGGAAAAAATTTTAACAGAATTTTGGAGAAACTTGGAAATTTGATTTGATCAGATTTTAATCCTAAAAATGTATGGCAAGGGGAGAGACAAACCTATAAGCATAGGGGTCCCTGCCTCTGTACTCTTACAAGTGTATGTACACACTTCTTATGGGGCAAAAGCTACTTATTTCTCTGCCTCCCTCAAGAAACTTGAGGACAGGATTTATTTTTGATCATAGTATCTTCATTGCTCAGATGATGGTAACATAGCACTCACATAATAAGTTCTGTTAAAACAAATAATGATTCCAAAAAAGTCCTCTATATGCTTGCTTATGTGTTCCTGTTCATGTAGTCGGCACCTGCCTCTTAGGGGCACTGTCAAAACAGGTGCAGAATTTATATTCTGCATATAATTCCTTCTATATACAAGCTAAGAAACCACAGTTCTGGGGATTTTTTGTTTTTTGTTTTGTTTTGTTGGTACCGGGGATTGAACTCGGGTCCTTAGCTTGCGAGGCAGGCGGTGGAACCACTGAGCTAAATCCCCAGCCCCACAGTTCTGCTAATGAGAAGTCTTTTGTGGTCTTTGATTAATAAATTTGAAAGAAATAACAGGTAACAGAGAGAGTGAAAGAGAAACTAGCAATAAAATATCCCCTCAATCCAAACAATCTAAGCAGTGACACAAAGGCTTTAACTTTTCTCACCTGTTAACTAATGTCTCACTATTTTTTCTACCCCTTCAGTGTTTTATTTAAATTTTAGTAAAAGAGGAAGAAAGACCATTTTAAATCATAAAAAATGATTCCAAAGTATAAACTAAAGTAATGAGAATCTTTGATTTTGAATACAGGAACCTAAGAATCATTAAGTTTCTGTTTCCTTGTGTCAGTCCTTAGGGCTCTTCTTATAAGCACTTTTCTGCTATCTTGGCACAAGAAAAAAAAAGTCTGCTCAGTTTTTCAGTAAGACATTAAAAACAAAAGCTTTGAGCATCTGAACCACCCTCCAGGAAGTGAACTATACTTCCTAATCAGGTTTCTGAGTTCATCACAATTGAAAACATAAGTGCAATTATTCAAAGAATTCTTGAAAACATGTTTACTTGCTTTGAAGAAAAAACTGGAACCTGGAAAAGCAAAACCAGACACTCTTTCATTTTACTTTGCTTTTTCATTTTTGCAAGTTCTATAGCCAAAGGCAAAGAAAGCTGATAGGAAAATTCTGAAACTTTACATATCTGTGTGCTTCCTTTCCTACTTTCGACAAGAAGCCACCCAATTGGACAACCCTGAGAATTCATTCCTTCTTAATTTATGCACACACTGACTTATTCATCAGTCATATGTTTTAGAATACGAAGGCTAGCACCAAAATATATTTTCTTTTTCTAGGCATACAAAATTATACTGTGTCCTCAAACATGTAGCAAAGTAGATGTCAAAGCATAGAGACAGGAAAACTAAATATAAATGCTGATAAGAGATGTGAAAGAAAACATTGTTTTGCATGTTAATTTTTGGTGTAATGCTGCTCCACTGCTTATGGATTTATTCAGTATTATTTATATTAGTTTAATTTATATTTATACTTTAAATTACTGGTAAATTTCTGTAGTATTTGTTTTACCTATAGTTTCAAAGTAAATTCATTTAAAATAGTACATTTAATTTTGGATTTTTTTGTTTGTTTGTTTTTGAGACAAGGTCTCACTCTGTAGTTCAGGCTGGCCTTGAACTCACTGTGTAGCCCAGGATGACTTCAAACCTGTGATGATCCTCCTGCCTCAGCCTTCCAAGTGCTAGGATGCACTACCATGCTGGGATTGCAATTATACTTTTTAAAGAGGATTTTATTATTTTAGATATCAAATAAATAATATCAAGACTATTTTTAACTAGTCTGTTAATTAAACAGTAGGACTGTCATGCAGAAGGCAAAGCTACCCTTTAAAGAATGTAATTACCTTATAAACCATTTTACATGATGTCCTCCAGTGTTATGTCACACATTATTTTTTTAAGGCATCATTTTCCTTTTTCTCTTCTTTTGAAAACATCTTGATAGTTATTTTTAATTTTAGTGTTGTTTTTGTTTACTAATCTTTTTAATAATCTTTTTATTATTGTTAAAGTGATAAAATACACATATATTACAGAAATTTAGGGGAAATTTCTAAATTTCACATTTTTCTCCCACCCCCAGTCTCATCTCTGTTAATATCTTAGTGCACATCCTTCCAAATCCTTCTCTATTTGTGTGTATATATATATAATATATATATATATTCTTTTTTTTTTTCAGTACCAGGGATGGAACTCAGGACCTTGCGCTTGCCAGGCAGGTGCAGCACCACTGAGCTAAATCCCTGAGCCCAAACGAGAATGAAATCATAGCAGACATTCCATTCTGCAATCTGCTTTATTCAGTTAATAATCTTACCTTCAATTTTAGTTTTCATATTGCCTAATATGAAAAATTAAAATGTAAGTGCTAATAAGAGATCAGACCCTCTTCCTATTTCCCAGCTGATCCCAAAATGTCCTTTATTGCTGATTTGTCCTTGCTGGCATTCAATCCAAGATCACACCTTATATCTGGCTTTTCAGATCCTCAAGTTCCTTTTATTCTGGCATAGTCCCATTTTGAGGACTTGTTGACGAAACCAGCCCATGTTCTGTGGATTTTCCAACCTTCTGTGCTTGAACAGCTCCTCCTGGTGTTATTTAGCTTGTTCCTCTATCCCCTCTAATCTCTAAAGAAAGGTGTGACTGAGTTGAGATAAACACTTTGGCTCATGTCTTTTAGAAGCAGTGTTGTGAGCTTCTTCATGTCCAGTCACATCGGAAGACAGAGAATGTGGGTGCCTCACAGGTGTCCCCTCACTTGACCCTCAGGTCACAGTGAAGACTGTCTGATCTCACCACTGGCATCTTTGTTTTTTCTCCTGAGACTAGAAAATAATGAGTGTAGAGGTAATGAGGACTATATAAACATCTAGTTTTCCATTAGCCATTCTTTTAGTGATTTTTAGCACAAACTGATAGTCCCTTTCTGAATCCCATACTTTCATTAAGAGTTTGATGTTTTTTAAGTTCTAATTCTCTCCCTTTATTAGCTGCCATTCTATAAGGGACCTTCTCTCCCAAACTGGGCTATTACTATAAAATGCAGTTTTTATTGTAAAGCAGAATAAATGCTAAGTTCTTTCCCTTAATTTTCAATTTGCAAAGTAAGAAATGGCTTTAACAGCTGCCTGAAAAGATGACTATTTTTCTCTGAATTTTTTTTTTAGTATTATCTTGGAATTATGGATTTTTCTTGATGCAGTGTGCTTCCATGCACACAATTATAATGTTTCTTGGTGCTCAAACGATCGGACCTTTGACAATTTATAATTTGTCACAACTTATTTTTGCTACCCTCTTGTATCGTGGTTTTTTTTTTTTTTTTTTTTTTTGTACCAAGGATCAAACTCAGGAACTTGTGCTTGCAAGGCAGGCGCAGTGCCTCTGAGCTAAATCCCTGGTCTCCTCCTGTGTCCATTTTAAAAGATCTGTTTTAATCTCTGAAAGCTCACCTGATTTTTAGCACAATATCTCCCAAACTCACCATATATCTGCCTGCCTGGACCTGGGATGAGCTGTTCTCCACGAAACATTGTTTTGTTTTGTTTTGTTTTGTTTTGTTTTGTTTTGTTTTGTTTTTAGTGAGACTTGTTGTTATCAGAGACCACAGTCTTATTCGCTACAGGTGTTCATTCTGACAGGGATGACATTTTTTTTCTAGGTCATTTAAGTGAACGAACAAGAAATATAAAATCATAAGTTTAAATTTATATTTTCCATTGTCTAGTGTTTTATTTAATGTTTAAGATATATGGTTCTTTATCTTATATTGGAAAGTTTTATCTTATGAATGTAATTATTTGCCTGATCCTATAATATGTTTAAATCACTTCTAATACCAAAATTGATATCATTACATTTACTGAGGAAGATTATCATTTTTAAATTAATATATAAGCAACAAGATTGCCCATTCATTTGTGTGTGTGTGTGTGTGTGTGTGTGTATTTGAAAAACAAAAATCTTTATTTGAAACCTGAAAAGAATTTTGAAGTACAAATACAGCACTAGATCTGGTCAAATCTCAACATTTTTTCAATGTATCAAAAACATCCTACATTCCAAAAACACGGGAATTTTATATAGGGAGTATGTGTTACTTGTATAATCCACAGCTCTCTTCCAATATGTTTCTTCATGTAGTTGCTTCACTTTCATAAAATCTTTCTTAATATGTACTGTCACACACAGCGAGTCTCCAGAATACTGATTTATCGCCGTATGTTTGGTGTCCACAGAAACCCTCGCTTCTTTTCCACAGAGGATGAGCCTCAGGGTGGCAGAGCCCAAAGTAAAAGTGCTAGGGTCAGACAGACCTGAATTTGAGTCAGGATGTGCTACTCAGTGGGAGACACTGAACAGGTTTCTTAACCTTGCTGAGCTCAGTTTCCTCATTTGTAAAAAGAAGAAAAAAACAATGCTTATTTCACAGTAAATGCACTATTGTTATCTATTACTCCCTATTTCAACCATCTACATATAAAACCATGCACCGTGAATATATGCAACTACTAACGCCACATCTCCCCCTTCAAAAAAGACCGATATTATATAAACCTGCTAACTGTATTCTCTTTTAGGTCTGGAGTACCTTGTGGCCGGACACGAGGATGTAAGAACAGGCAAATTAGTTGTGAATATGAAAAGCTTTGTCCAACACTGGAAGCCATCTCTTGGAAGAAAAGTCATGGATATTTTAAAAAGAGAGTGCAAATAGCAATCAAAGGCGGGTAGCACCTAATGGCACTTCTCCGTGTACACAACACAAACTTAATGAAAATGAGACCTCAGAAACTGAACTGGAAGTTTTTAAAGTGCCAAAATGTAAAGAAATGTTCAAATACATGGGCCTTGTCTAACCAATCTGTTCTAGACCCATGTTTAAATTCAGTTTTGCTTCATAAAGAGGAATGAGAAACCCTATCCTGATATCAGTTTTCTATGGAACTGATTCTGAAAGTCATAATTATTAGGGAGATTTTAATAGCAGCATGATATTTAGCAGCAGTCCATTAAGGGCAGTACCTCTAACGAGGACTCCTCCCAGCTTCAGCTGAGTTACTTACCTTTGATGCTACTTAAAGTACTTCGTGGGATTTTAAGGAATCCCCACCCCTATTATCAGGAAAGGTATTTCTTACAAAGAGCCTTCCCTTGGGAGCTGTGTATGAACTGTGGTCTGGAGGGTGAGATGAACTTCACGTGTGTATAGTATTTCTTTGTACAAAGCACTTTACTACCTGCCACTTGTGTTGTAAAAATTCGGAGACTGCTGCTGACAGGAAGAAAAGAAAAGGGTATGTAAGAAAACCTACTGAAACAGAGCACTGCCTCTACCTGTGGACAAAAATGACCATATAGAGGAAGTTGTTCTATTTAACTCTGAAGCCTTGGAGAAACAATGGGAGGACGCAACTTAAAAAGAGAGTATGTTTTCATGAAGTCTCAGCTTTGGGCTAGAGGTTAGATTCCACGTTACTGGCCACCCTGAAATGGTTTTAAAAACTAAACAAAAAGAGACTTTAAAATAAGGAAAAGAAATCATAAGTGTAGAAAACAATGTTTGCATAAAGGAGAGGTGGACGTTAAATTTTTTAAAAGCTCATTTATTTCCAATGCACTTGTACACATTTCAAAAATTATTGTAGACACAGAATGTGTTGTATTTTTGTGTTTAGTATTTAAACCTAAACATCAAAACAGTTTTCTTCCTTGTCTTTATTAACAGTAATGGTCATTATATATATATATATGTATATATATGTATATATATATGTATATATATATACATTAATTTTAACACAATGTATGTGATACTTCACCAAATTGCAGTTTTTCATTATTTTTCATTTTCCATGCATAACCACTATATATATAGTTTCTTTTATACTTGAATATACAAAACATGAACCACAGTGCCATAAGATTAAATTCACATACAGAACATATTTCTTTCCTGAGG